GTACATTCCTGTTATTTCTAGTTCCATCAGAGCTTTTATCAAGAAAGGATGTTGTATTTTGTCAAAAGATTTTGCTTTATCTATTGAGTTGATCATGTCGTTTTGTCCTTGCTTCTGTTTATATGCTATATTACATTATTGATTTGCATATGTTAAACAATTCCTGCATCCCTGGAATGAAACTGACTCAATATGTTGTTAAATTTGTTTTGCCACTATTTTATTGAGAATGTTTGCATCAATATTCATTAAAGATATTGGTCTACAATTCTGTTTTTTGTGTGTATGTCCTTTTCTGGTTTGGGAATTAGTGTAATAATGGCTTCATTGATTGAGTGCAGTATGGAGTGTTGCTTCCCTTTCTATTTCATAGGGAAGTTTGAGGAGTGTTGGTATTAGTTCTTCTTTAAAAGTCTGGGAGAATTCAGCAGTGAATCCATCAGGTACTGAGTTTTTCTTTATTGGGAGATTTTTTTATTGCTGCTGATCTATTTAGGAGATTTATATCCTCTTGGCTCAATTTTGGTTGGTGATATGTGTCTAGAAATTTATCCATTTCTTAGATTTATTTGAATATAAGTTTTTGAAGTATTCCCTAATGATCTTCTGGATTTCATTGGTGTTTGTGGTGATATCCCCTTTTTCATTTCTGATTTTTTAACTTGACTCTTTTCCCTCTTCACTTTAGTCAGGTTTGCCAAGGGATTATCAATCTTGCTTATCTTTTCAAAGAACCAACTTTTTGTTTTATTGATTCTTTGTATTTTTTGTCTCTGTTTCATTGATTTTGGACCTTATTTTTATTATCTCTCTCCTTCCACTGATTTTGAGTTTAGCTTGTTTTTGTTTTTCTAAGAGTTTGAGATGAAGCTAGAGTTCATTTATTTGTGATCTCTCTGTATTTTTAAGTAGGAGTTCATAGCTATAAACTTTCCTCCTAGCAATGCTGTGTCCTACAGGTTTTGGTTGGTAGTGTTTTAATTTTTGTCAGATTCCAGAAACTTTTTGATATCATCCCTTATTTCTTTGATGACCCATTGGTCATGCAGCATCATGCTGTTTGGTCTTCAGGTGTTTTAGTATTTTTTGCTGTTTCTTTTGTTGTTGAGTTTTGGGTTTATTCTGTTGTGGTCAGACAGTATGGAGGAGGTTATTTCAGTTTTCTTATGTTTGTTAGGACTTGCTTTGCATCCTAAAATACAATCTATTTTGGAGGAAGTTCCATGGGCTGCTGAGAAGAATGTGTATTGTGCTACTGTTGGATGATGTCTCTAGATGTCTAGTAAGTCCATTTGGTCTATGTGTCATTTAGTTCTGAAGTTTCTTTTTTGGGCTGGATAACCTGTCCATTGGCAACAGTAGAATACTGAGGTTTCCCACTATCATTGTGTTGTGGTCTATCTGTGCTTTTAAGTCCAGTAGTGTTTATTTAATGAAGTTGGGTGCACCAACATTAGATGCATATAAGTTAACAACTGCTATTTCCTTTTCATGGATTGTTTCTTTTATTAGTAATAAGTGACCTTCTTTGTTTCTTTTGACTAATTTAGGTTCAAAGCCTACTTTATGTGACATAAATATAGCTACTCCTGCCTGTCTTCAGGGGTCATTTTCTTGGAAAATTTTTTTCCACCCTTTTACCCTATGCCAATGTTGACTTCTGAAAGTGAGATAGGTTCCTTGTAAACAACAAATTTTTGGGTATTTCTTCTTAATCCAGTTTACCAATCTGTATCTTTTGATGAGGGAGTTGAGACCATTAACATTCAGTGTTAAAATTGAGAGCTTTGTGTTAATTCCTGCCATTTTGTTGCATTTGGTGTGTGTGTGTGTTTGCAGTTCATTCTTTGCTATTCTATAATTGCTCATCTGCTTGGAGGTGAGATTTAATTATTCCCATCCTTTCATGGCTATGTTTATTTTCATCTTCTATATGTAAAATGCCTTTGAGTATATTCGAGAGTGCTGGTTTAGTGGTCATATATTGTTCTAGTTTCTTTTCATCATGAAAGGTTTTTATTTCTCCTACAATTATGAATGAAAGCTTTGCTGGGTAGAGTTTTCTAGGCTTGAAATTGTTTTCTTTCAATGCTTGAAATAACTTCATTCAATGCATTTCTTGTTTTGAAGGTTTCTGTTGAGAAGTCTAAGGTTATTTTGATAGGCTTAACCTTATAGGTTATTTGATGAATCTCCTTTACAGTCTTCAGTAGTCTTTCCTTTTCCCTCTGCTTATTGTTTAAAATATAATATGCCATGGAGAGGTTCTCTTTTGGTCATGTCTGTATAATGTCCTATAGGTCTCCTATATGTGGTTGGGCATCTCTTTCTCAAGATTTTTGAAGTTTTCTGCTATTATTTTGTTGAGTATGTTTCTCATGCCTTTGGCTTGAACCACTTCTTTGATGCCCAGGATTTGTAAGTTTGGTCTTTTGATGGACTTACAGAGTTCTTGCATATTCCTGCATAATTCTTCAGTCTTTTCTCTATGTATTCATCTGTTAGTTCCATTTTATCTATTTTTTCTTTAAGTCCTGAAATTCTATCTTCCACTTGTTCCAATCCATTGGAGTGGCTTTCAGTTGTATTTTTATTTGACCTAAGAAGCTTTTTATTTCCAGGATTTCTTTTTTTTTTTTTGGTTTGGTTGGTTGGTTTTTGAGACTTTATGTTGTTATTAAGCACCTCTTTCATATCTTGTATTGTCTTTTATTTATCTCTTTTTTATCTTTCTTGATTGCATTCTGATGTTTGTATCCTCTTTGAGTTCATTTAGTTGTTTTTGTGCCTTCTTAAGCTGTTTATACATATTCTCATGGAATTCATTGACTTGTTTTCTGTATCCTCTTTAAACTCCTTAAACATTCTTATCATCATTCTTTTGATCTGGGAAACTGAGGTTTCAGCCCCTTCACTATCTAACATATTCTTTATTATGTGATTTTTGACCTTTTGAGGAGTCATATTTCCTTCCTTCTGTTTCCCATATTTCTATTTTGAGATTGGCTCATGTGTTGTCCAATAGCTGGTTGGGAGTTTTAGTCACCTGAAATTTTCCCCTTGACTTGATTTCTGTGTTCTGACCAGATTGGTTGTTGGTTAGGTTGCTGTATCATTTCTGTTCACTGATATGGGGGTAAAACTTAGCAATAACAAATTCATTATTTCAGTGGAAAACCAGTTATTTATGTCAGATATAAAATCCTTTCCAGAATTATCTATTAACAGAGGGGTGTTGGGGAAATAACCATTGTTTGCATAAAGATTAAAACAGGTAATTTGAGAGTGGAAGAAGAGATAAGACAGAAGAAAGATGAGGAAAGGAGTTAAATGAAGTATAAAATATGAGGGCTACAAGGTAGAAAGACTCTAATGTGTATAGAGGTGTAGTTCAGTTGTTGTGGAGGAAGATGCTGTTGTCAGGAATTGCAGAAGGATAGAAAAGATGGGAGTGTTATAAGATGGTGTTAGAATAAACCATTCAGCAGGGAAAGTGGAGAATAAAGGAAAGAGGAGAAGGAAAGGAAGACAAGGAAAAGGAAGAAGGAAAAATGGAATAAAGAAAGGGTAAACAAATTGAAACTTCAACAAAGTGGAAAGAAAAAATAAGATAAAAAATCTTTTTAAGTCTGAATTTCTTCCTTGTTGAGGAGATGAGTGGGTTTCCTTTGTGTTCAGTGAGTACTCTGGACATTCCCCTCTAATTTCTGATCCTCATGCTTTAGTCTGTATTTCTCACATCTTCCCTCTGGGTGCTGTCCCTCCCCTGCTATACAAACCTATGTCCATTTAGACAAGGGCTTTCTCTGAGCCCCTGCCCCTCTTTAGGATAGATATGCTAGACTAAGTGACAATTGGTGGTACCCCCGCCACACTGGGTGGGTTTGGGGGACTCCACACAGGCTGTTTATCCACAGGCTCCTCTGAGAGTATGAGGGAAGCAAGGAGTGGGGCTAGGTTCATCTTGCTTGGCTAGATGGGTTCTCCAAGGTGGTTGTGTGCAGAGAACAGCCATCAGCCTCTCCCATCAGGCAGTGTGGTCAGAAGCTCTTCTCTGAGGAGACAGTCAGTTTCAGCTCATTGCTAGGTTTCTTGAAGGTGATTGGATGAGTTATTATTTCCCACAGACTGGGCTCAGGCTTGGCTTCCCTGCACTCACACTGTCTTTGTGCCCCTCTCCTACCAGCCAGGATGGGAAATTTTGCTCAGCTTATTAGGTCAAAAGTTTTCTGCTAGGGGGGTTCAGTCAGATGCTTGCAAGCTGAGATAGACGATGTGGTATTCCCAGGACTGAAAGCAGTAAACTCACCTGAATAGATTGTAAGCAACTCTCTCTGGTGTCACAGGGACTCAGATCGGCCTGCAACAGGCCACAGGACATGGGCAGTGATTGTTTCCTTTCTCACAGTCTGGTACTCCCTGACTCTTGCCGAGCTTACAGCCCTGTGTGTCAGTTTTTTAGCACTTTGGATGGTCTTTCATGGACTAGAGGCTACTCCGGTCCAGGCAAAACAAAAAGAAAGAAATTGCACCTGCCAGCACTGTGGTGGCACAAAATGTTGCTGACAGTGCCTGGGTACCTGGGGGGTTGTACTTTAAAAGGCTGATTTAAAGGTTGGATGTTGTAAATATGGCCTGCCAATGTATTAGCAACCCCTTGCTTAGCAAACTAGCCAGACCACCTATCCTTGCTGCCAGGAACCTAAGATTATCTTTCAGGCTTACGGGAACTCAGTGTTCTGGGGCCTATCAGCAATTGCCATCTTGGTTTCGTGGTCACAGTCACCTTCTTAAAAAACATAATGTAACACACCAATTACTCTACTTGTCTATTTTTTTAAACTTGCTGATTTTTTCCCTCACTTGGAGGATTGTAATTTTTTATTTTTTTAGACGTGTGATGTCAAGATTTTTTAGTTCTCATGTTAAAACATTTGTATCAAAACAGCATATGAAATTGATGACAGATTTCCACTCTTACACTTTTATTTTAAAATCAGGCCTCAGAAGTCTCTAGAAACAGAGGAGCCTCTTTACTGGCCAGGCCAGGACACAGCCTAGTAGCCGCTATTCGAAGCCAACACCAACATGAATCATTGCCACTGGGTATGTATCATTACTTTTTGAACCCCTAGCTACCCACTACTTAACCTTGTTTTTCTTATCATGAATCCTTTAATCTTCAAAATTCAATATTTTTTTCTCATCTCTCATGACACTTACTCCCTGACTTTGTACTTCCATTCTCCCTGCCTTTTCCCCTCCCTTCCTCTCACCTGTCCTTCTCTCTTCCCTGTCACTCTCTCTTCTCTACTCTCATGAACACCCTCATGTTTGTTCTTTATTCAAGTCAGTGATTTGTGAACTCAGTCCAGAAGAGCATAGTTTAATGAAGTGATGGATTTTCTTCTTACTAGATGCAGTTTTAAATTTTTATCTCTCTTTTCATGTGTGTGGAAAGAGATGAGGTGAAAAAAAAAACCTAAATAATAGGTATTTCCATTACCACAGCTGAGAAATCAACACATGATTATAAGTAGTAAGAGTCATGTGTTCAGAGAAGGATTTCTTTGAACTCACAAAGAATCTTTTGTCATAATAACTTTGGCAAAAGGACGAGAAAAGTTAGAAGAAAGAATGGAGAATGCCTCTCATGGAAGAACCATTTAATTCTCCTTCACCTGTTCACAGAGATGAGTTAACACCAAGCAAAGTTCCTAATGTATTATAATTAACTTAGAGACCTAGTTCACTTTTAGTTTGATCATTTAAAAATAATAATGCTATTATGACACATTAAAATGCAAGAATTTTTATTTTTAATGAGTACTTCAAACTCCTAGATTAATCCTGGTATCAAGTGGGCATTTTCCAGTCATCAGAGAAATTTCTAGGCTGCAGAATAAATCACAACTCTGCACTTTTGTATGTTTCAGCATATAATGACAAGATAGTGGCATTTCTTCGCCAGCCAAACATTTTTGAAATGCTGCAAGAGCGTCAACCAAGCTTGGCAAGAAACCACGCACTCAGGTAGGGCTTGATACTGACCCCTAGAATTCCAGGTCTTTCCAGGTGGGAAAAAAAACCTCTGTGAAGAGAAAGCAAAAGCTTGTGGTTTGCTTTATTCCCACGTTTAAATTATAACTTAAATCCTCAAAATGAAGAGTTTAGTGTTCTGGAAATTGTCACAGAGATGGTTATTGTCAGACTACATATTGCTTGTATGATGCTGAAATGATTTCCATTGATTTGGAGGAAAGTACAGAAAGGAAAAATAATTCTCATGAAAAAAATTTATGTAAAGCACCATGTAAGTTATTTTTACCTTGAAATACAATTGTTTGATGGTAAACCAATTTTTAGGTGACTATATTCAAAAGCAAACACACAAAATACCATCTGTGCTCAAACAACTTAAATCCTAGTGTCCATCAGGATCATTTTTTTAATTAATTAATTTAATTTATTTATTTATTTATTTTCATTTTTCATTTATTATTCATATGTGCATACAAGGCTTGGTTCATTTCTTCCCCCTGCCACCACCCCCTCCCTTACCACCCACTCCACCCCCCCCCTCCCCACCTCAATACCCAGCAGAAACTATTTTGCCCTTATTTCTAATTTTGTTATAGAGAGAGTATAAGCAATAATAGGAAGGAACAAGGGTTTTTGCTGGTTGAGATAACGATAGCTTTATAGGGCATTGACTCACATTGATTTCCTGTGCGTGGGTGTTACCTTCTAGGTTAATTCTTTTTGATCTAACCTTTTCTCTAGTACCTGTTCCCCTTTTCCTATTGGCCTCAGTTGCTTTAAGGTATCTGCTTTAGTTTCTCTGCGTTAAGGGCAACAAATGCTAGCTAGTTTTTTAGGTGTCTTACCTATCCTCACCCCTTCCTTGTGTGCTCTCGCTTTTATCATGTGCTCATAGTCCAATCCTCCTTGTTGTGTTTCCCCTTGATATCAGGATCATTTTTAAATGAGTCTCTGAAACTTTGAAACAATTCATTTGGTAAGGACAGCAACCCAGAATGATAAAAAGAAAAAAAAATACCCAAAAACTTAATCTTGCTTCCTGATCAAGAAATTTAAACATCTCTTTCCTTCGGTTTATTATTTCAAAAGCTGGAGATGTGTGAGAGTAAGGGTGTGCCCCTTGAAATCTGAATTCTTACTGCCCACTCTTAGGGTGACTGATACAAGTATGCTCTTCTGTCTCTCTCCTAGTGTCTTCATTGGATGAGGGTCATGATGTGGGTGTTGTTGAGACTTTTTAAGGAGGGTGTGTGTAAAGGATCAGGCAAAGCGAGTGAGAATCCTATCAAAGACTGCCTGTAATTCTTCCCTCCCCATTTGGTGGCTTTTGAATCTGACTGGTTCCTGTGGAACTCTACATTAGCTTCATCAGAAAACCCCATCAAATAGCCTCTTTACCATAAGATCTTTGCCAGACCCCGCACATGGCTCATTTTCTTCCCTTTCCCCTCCGCTGCCTCCTCAGTGACTCGTCTTCTCCCCATGTTGTCACATGTGTAAATTAGAATTACTATCCTCTCTGTCATCCTTCACTTCAACAACTCCCTCTTCTTCCATCACCACATTTAAACATTCACTTCTACACTTGCAATCTTTCAGTCTTATTTTTCTTCCCTATTCTAACCTAAGTTTGGGGTTTCCTCATTTCTCCCCTGGACTTTACTAGCATCTCCCCTATCGTCCTGTGATAACCAGAGTTATAGCATAGATCAAATTTCCTGCCCTTCAGAAAAAAACTTTCAAAGCTCCTGTTGTGTATGAAATAAAGTCAGGATTTCTAAGCACAAAGTCCATGACCTCTTCCTAGAGTGGCTTCTCTAGTGAGGGAATCTCATCCTTTTAGAAAGGCTCAGATCAAAGTCAAAAATTCAGTGATCCAGGAAGACTTTAATATTTCCTTTTTCTTGCTTTAATACCATTCTTTTTGTACTGCTAAGATAGTTTTAGATCTGTTGTATTATGTCATTAAATTGGGTTTCCCTACATATTGTCAGCCCTTTGGCACAGGACCTCTGTCCTCCCTGCCTTTGTGCATGTTCTGCCCACTCAAAACCTGGGCATCTAGTTGAAGACAAAGGTCTTCAACTAATTACTAATTACTAATTACTCTTAGGTGGATGAAAAGTCTTTAGCCTGAGCACACAAAGTTTAGAATGAGTAATTATCACTTTTATTTATGGTCTACACTGAAGAAACCTGCCTGGGTTTCACCACACAAGGCAGTAACATACTTAAGCCATTTATTCAGGGTCTGCTTTTTGGCTCATAATAAAAATTTGAGGGAACTTTCAAGGAATTTCCTGAGGATTACATTACCTGAAGAGGGTCTGACACATTGCTGCTCTTAAATTTTTTTTTTAGTGATTCTCAGTAAGTAATGAGCTCACTGTTACTTTTTAGAGGAATCTAGATTTCCCAAAAACACTAGAGACACATTTTCATCTTTAGGAAAGCTTTTTAAGTAGTTCCTGTATAAAAGAGAGGAATGTATGTCCAAAGAAGAGCGAACTATGTTCAGCTTCTGTGTAATAACACATTATAACAAACTCCAAGAAAACTTAAAAGTTTTGTCAACATATATAATTGTTTAACTCTGCTTTTCCAAAGCTGGGGGACTTGAAATTAGGGCATGTTGGGATTAGAAGAACCTGGAAATTATCTGGTATAGAAACTAATAACTGTTTTCAGTTATGAGAAGCTGATTAAAGCTATTTAGACTCTTCTATATGTATAAATTGAAACTTTGCATATAATATCAAATAGTGAATGGACCTTAAAGAAACTTAAAGAACTGTAGATTAAGAATCTTAAGCTCTCATCAGAAGCACAAGGCTCAAAGTGACTATCAAAAAAGGCCTGCAAGATACCTTAAAAGCAACTGAGACCAATAGGAAAAGGGGACCAGGAACTAGAGAAAAGGTTAGATCAAAAAGAATTAACCTAGAAGGTAACACACACACAGGAAATTAATGTGAGTCAACTCCCTGTATAGTTATCCTTATCTCAACTAGCAAAAACCCTTGTTCCTTCCTATTATTGCTTATACTCTCTCTTCAACAAAATTAGAGATAAGGGCAAAATAGTTTCTGCCGGGTATGGAGGGGGTGGGGGGGAGAGGGAGGGGGTGCAGTGGGTGGTAAGGGAGGGGGTGGGGGCAGGGGGGAGAAATGACCCAAGCCTTGTATGCACATATGAATAATCATGTGCAAAAGGACTGCAAGGTGATTGGGTTCAAAAAACATAACAATGAGAGCAAGATTTATCTTTAGGAGGTTACGCTCGAGAGAATCAGGAAACCAGGTGCTGCTTCCTATAACTGGGCCTCTCCCTGCCCCTTGATTATGATGTGAGGGGAGTCAAATCCAATTTAAGGTCCAAGAAATGAGAAGAAAACCTCTTCTCAGGACCTCACTTAGAAAAAGAACTTACTGTTTCCTCTGTGGCCCTTAAGTGCGGGCATGACCTCTCTGCTGCCATTGCTGTTCTCAGGCAGCCAGGAATTCTCTGTCCGGGGTCCATAAAGTCAGTTTCTGGGTTAGAGAACAGAGGATGAGTCTTCAGAAAACTGTGTTCAGCAGGCAGCAGTGAGTCATAAAGAAGCTGCGTGTGGAAGAGGAGGATGGAGCCCAAAAGCCCAGATAAATGGCATGTGTTATCTTAGGGGGAGGGTTTTTTTTTTTTTTGAGGTACTGGGGTTTTTTTTAACTCAGGGCCTACACCTTGAGCTACTCCACCAGTCCTTTTTTGTGATGGGTTTTTTTTTAGATAGGGTTTCATGAACTATTTGCTTGGGCTAGTCTCAAACCATGATCCTCCTGATCTTTGCCGCCTGAGTAGCTAGGATTACAGGCATGAACCACTGGTGCCCAGCTGGCATGTCTTATCTTAAAGAAAGTGGTAGTGATCTTGATTGATTCTGTCTTTCCTATAACTCCTGTCATTATGTGCAACTATTCTGAATGGTGTTTGTGCTAGGGCTATGTAGGCAATATCAAGCAAAACAGACACAGGCCCTACTTTCATGGAACTTACAATCTAGTAAGAAGACAGATGATAGACAAAGTTTTGAGGGGTTTTGTTAAGTCAAATACATGCATAATGTACCACAAAGGCCATGATCAGAATTCAGTGAGGATATATAACATGTTAGTGCACCTCATGGTATATTACTATTGGGAAAGCACAAAAACTAGAGAGTCATTCATGGAGCTGAAGTCAGCAAATCAGAAAAGTGATCTAAGATTGTCTTCAAACAAGAGGACTTTGAGGTGGTATCAAGATTTAGAGGACAAAGCTCAAGGTCATGAATTCCGGGACAAAGGTGGAAGGAGAAGCAGTTGGAAAAGGAAGTTGGTCCTTGTACCCTTGTCTAGGCTTTCACTGGCTCCATGCTAAATGATGTGGGGAGGTATATTCCATCTTTCAAACCACAGCCAAAGAAGCCACTGTGAACCTCTCCAAGTTTTGGTCATAACATTTACTGTGGTAATACTTTATTCTGAGAATAGATCCTGAGGTACTTCTCTGTTCACTCTCATTTTGTGTATCTTTGTAAAGGCCGAAAAGTTTCCTTGCCTTTATAAACAGAATCATCATACCAGAAGGTCAAATTGATTGTATTTGCTGTATCTCTTGAAGAAAGGCAAAAAATTTAACTCCTCTGAAGCATGCATACAGTGGAATAGCTACTGGATATGGAAGTCGTAATAGCTAACTAATATCAAGGAAGCAAATTACAAAGTCAATTTGATCAAAATAAATGCTATTTATCCACAGACTTACTTGAAATAATTTTCAAGGCAACACTTGTAAATTGTGAAAAAGGTCACAATAGGTGAGCTGTTAACTAAACAGAGACAAGTTGATACCTGTGTCTTGACTGACCTAGGAGATCCTAGTCCTCTGGAGGCTGAGCCCTCTCTGTGCCCAATGTAGCATTACAAAATTTCCCACAAGGCACAAGATTTCCTAAGAGACTCCCTACTTTCTCTCTTCCCATGCACCATGATCCCAGCATAGTCCTTCAGCAGCTCCCCAAGCTCAGTTCTGTACCTGTCTTTGCTGTGCTTCTCGGCTTCTGCAGCAGGGAGTCTCAGGAAAAACTGCTTTGTAGAGCACCTTGAGAACTCACAAAGCAAACTCCAAGTACTGAAAAATGCATCAGACATTAGGATACAGCTGTTCATCCATGCTGCAAGAGAGAAAGAAAAAAGGGGGAGCTGAAAAAGATGTATTCCTTGGCTTATGTGTTGGTGTGTAATTCTCATTTTCTTTCCCACATTACTCTAGGGAGAAAATTCATTATATTCGGACCGAGGGCAATCATGGACTTGAGAAGTTATCCTGTGATGCAGATCTAGTCATTTTGCTGAGGTAAGGGGCTGTACCTGGGACAGAAAAGCTGTACTTGGGGGGTTCCACACTACAGCCACCCTGAAAGTGGCAGGACTGAAACACTCAGTGCCATTTGTTCTAAAAGATTCTGATGGCCAGAACTGAAACTGGGCCCTGCCCTTGTGCCTGTTATCCATCACTTATGATTTACAACTGGGGCATGAAGACTACATAAAGTCTTGATGGAGACTTTGCTGTAAGGTTAATCAGGGCTTTAAAAAACAGAATTTGCAGGTGGGATGGACCTAACTTTCATACATGTATATATATATCTTTTCTTTAGATTATAAATCTAATCATTTTTGTTGCTTGATGAGAACTCTAAAGCTATTACCCAATTTGTGAGCACTTTCTCAAAGGACAGAAAACTAATTTTTTTTAACCTTTGCAGTCTTTTTGAAGAAGAGATTATGTCCTACGTCCCCCTACAGGCTGCCTTCCACCCTGGATATAGCTTCTCTCCCCGCTGTTCACCCTGTTCCTCACCTCAGAACTCCCCAGGTAACTTGAGAATCTGGCCTGATATCACCAGTAAGTGGCCATGTGTGTCTCCACCTGCTGAAGGGGAATGAAGGAACATTCAGATCCAAGTGTCCATAAAGTTTTACTGGAACCTGGCCATGCTAGTACTTTTATGAATTTGCTGTGGGAGCTTTCACCATATAACAGAGATGAGCAATAGCAACAGAAGCCACGTGTTCTACCAAACCTAAAATATTTACTATCTAACCCTTTCCAGAACAAGTTTGCATCCCTTTTCTAAATTCTACTGCATTCTAAAGGCACTCTCCTAGCATTCAAAAGGAAGAGCCCTTTTCATTTGATTTACATTATCACATTGTTGTAGATTTCTAAGATAAACCAAAATTTCCTTTTGTAACTAGGAACTTCCTGTCTCAGAACCTCTAGGTCACTGTGAAGCCTTTGGGGAAATTCAGAAGCGAAACAAAATTTAGCAGTATGCTCTGTCTGTCAGAAGTTACTACTATAGATACCTAAAACTAGAATGTCTTTAGATTGGCTCAACCAAGTTGTATCATTCAGAACTATTGTCTTAAGAAAGTATTTCCTTGTTGTTACTTCCTCCAAACAAGTGCACCAAACATTGTTAAGGAAATGCCCAGTTATTTAACAACATGATTGAAATCCCATTGCCCAGAGGTAGAGAGGAGGAACAGCAGCTTTGTTCAAGCCAACATCAGGGCAATCACACATTTCCAATCTGTGCAGGGTAACCTGCTTTTGGGGAGCAGCCATTTGGGGGAGCTGTTGGTCTTTGTGATGATCTTCCCTATTGCAGAGATTGTCCCAATCTGCTAAGTAATCCACAATTGGTCCACAGCCTTTGGTCATAGAGTAAGATTTTAACATCAATATATGGGAAAGATATACTTTAAATAGAAAAATAAGCTATAATAAAAGTTATTTTCTAAATTAGAATTATTTGGATAAATTTTACAAACTTTTTAGAGGGTTTATTGTAATATTAACACACATGCACATGCTATACTTTGATCAAATTCACTGCACCTGTATTACTCTCTTAGCCCCTCTCCCACCTTCCCATCCTTTTTAACAGTTTTTAGTGGGTTTCCTTATACTATTTTCATATATATATGTAATGTACTTCAATCCCCCTCCTGTCGTCCCCTCTTTTCCCCCTTTCCCCCTTGCTGGTTCCTCCCCAGTCCCCGTTTTGCAATCATATCATATTATCATCTTTTAGGTCTGTGTATGAGTGAAAACATGCAATATTTACCTTTCTGAGCTTGGCTTATCTTGCTTAACATGATCTCCAGTTCCATCCATTGTCCTGCAAATGATATAAGTTCATAACTCTTTATTGCTGAACAACACTCCACTGTGTACATATTCCACATTTTCTTTGTCCAGTCATAGCTTTTTGGGTGCCTAGGCTGATTCTGTAGCTTGGCTAATGTAAATAGTGCTACTGTAGATATGGGTATGTAGTATCTCTATTGTATGTTGACTTATAATTCCTTCAGATATATGACCAAGAGTGGCATAGTAGAATCTATTATAGTTCTATTTTTAGTGTCTTAAGAAGCTGCCATATTGATTTTCATAGTGGCTGGACTAATTTAAGGAAAAGGAACCCTTTTCCCTAAATCTCGCCAGTTTGTTTTCTTTACTAGAGTGATATGGAATTTCAGTATCAACTCAAAATGGATCAAAGATCTTGCTTAAGACTTGAAACTACTACAGGAAAACATAGGGAAAACACTGGAAGATATAGGTATAGGCAATTACTTTCTGAATATAACTCCAATTACTCAGGAAATAAGAGCAAGAATTGCATCTTTAGAAAAATGCACAGTAGTGGCCATAGAGATAGTGGGATTTTACCAAATTTAAAAACTCCTGCACATGAAAGAAAACAATTACCAGAAACAAGAGACAATCCACAGAATGGGAGAGAGTTTTGGCAAGTCATTCATCATTTAAAGGATTAACATCCAGAATACATAAAGAGCTCAAAAATTTAAGCAACAGCCAGATATGATGGCTTAAGCCTATAATCCTACCTACTTGTGAGGCAGAAATTGGGAGGATCATGGTTCTAGGTCAGCCATGGCAAAAAGTTTGGAGATCCCATATCACCCAATGACTGGGCACAGTTGTGTGCATATGTCATCCTGGCTATACAGGGAGGGCAAAGAAGGGTATTGCAGTCCTGGCCAGCCAGGGCATAAAGTAAGATGACCTCATCTCAAAAAGTAACCAACACAAGGGCTGGTAGAACAGCTCAAGTGGTAGAACACCTGCCTACTAAGCACAAGGTCCTGAGTTCAACCCCCAGTGTTGAAAGAGAAAAAATTCCATTAAAAGAACAAATCATCTAATTTATAAATTGGTAAACAAATTGAATGAATAGTTATCAAAAGAAGTACTGCAGATGGCTAATAAATACATGAAGAAATGTTCAATATCCTTAGCTATGAAGAAAATGGATAACTTTTATAAAAGAAATCAGCCTTCCTGATAAAGACATTATTGATACCATGAATCCAAGTAATCATCCAATTCATTTTGTCAAAGCACTTAATTTTCACTATTCAGCTTTGACCATGGGATCCTAAATTGTTATATAAATATTTTGGTTTTAAATTTGAAATTCCTTTTATCCTAGGCCTTTACAAAATTTTCCTGGGTGCTACAGAGATAGACAATCATGGAAGTTTATGCTAACATACTTTGTAAAGCATAAATCTTTAGAAAAATGTACAGTACTGATCATAGGGATAATGGTAGTACCAGCAATAGTAAAAGTTTATATAGTACATAATAGGTATCATTGTGATCTGTTGGGCAGAAAATTATACTTGCATTTGTAGACTTGTGGTCTAGTTCTATCTGTATTCTGAAACCTGCTATTTTGCCAAAGCTTTTGGGGGCTTGGGGCCCCCAAAACTTTCTTGCTTACACCCTCAGCTGCATTTCCTCTGCTCCTCTCTCTTACTCACTGTCATCAGCAAACCTTTTTGTCTTGCTGAAAGGCAGTGTCACCTGTCTCACAGATTTCCTTCTCTTCCCAAGCAAGTTCTTCTATCATCTTGGATAACTTCAACACCCTCAAAGACACCCTGGCATTCCCTATCCTCTCAGACTCTGGACTTCCTTGAATTGATTACAATAACCTTCTCCTCCTCCACTTTAACCACCAAATTCCATGGTAGCACTCCTGACCTTGTTATATCTAGATCACCCATTCAATCATTGCCTTCCCTCGTAACATGTTTATTCCACCACTCTTCAATGACTACCCTTTGGCTTTGTCAGGACTACAAATTCATGGGATTCTCTCCTCTCCTTTCTAATGTTGCTCCCTTATCCAATATAGATTATGTGGCTCATGGTTTCAGTAATGCCCTTGCCAGTGTCCTGATCTCCCCTACTCTTCCTTTTATTTGCATCCTCTAACAGAACTCCATCCCTAGATAAACCTTTCTGTCTGCCTTATGTTATGTGCATTTGCAGTTACGTACTCTTGAGTGAATTCAACAGACAGGACAGATTATTAATCATAAATAATCATAAGTTATTAATCATCTCTCACTTCACATGAACATTGACCACCCAAAGGAAAATCCTAGCATGTTTCTTTGGGCTCGTCTACTACCATTTGAAACATTTCTACCTCCCTCCAGCCTCCAATCCCCAGGATCCCCTCCTCTCTCCTTTTAGTTTACTTCATTGAGAAAAAGTTATCCAGGTGGAACTTTCTCAAGTCCCTGCTATTTAACCTACAAGGCTGCACACACTCTATCCTTCTGCATGCCTGTACATGAGAGGCAGTCACCGGATCCCACATGTAATCCTCAGCCCTCCTCTTGATCTTCCAGCAGTTTTCAATATTTCTGACTACTCCCCTCCAAGTCTCTTCGTCAGTTAGCTTCTGTGACTCTGACTGTAGGAAGGTCATCTACTTCTCTGGGCATTCTTGCAGTCTCATCCTCCTCTTCCTACAATCCTCAAGGCTCATTAATAGCTTTTTCTTCTGTGCTCCTTTAAACTATGTCTCTTTCCAATCAATCAATCAAAGGTATGCCATCAAAGACCAAAGTCATGATCTTCCCCCAAAATTTGTTCTTTTTCTGCTGCTCCCCATCTGAGTGAATGTCACCATAGTTCATTGTGAAACCCACTTCTCTCTCACTACCTATATTCAATTCAGTGTCTTCAGTCTGTCTGCATCTCATCATCTTCCCTGCATTGATGTCAGCCTAGTTATTATTGGCTCTCTATATCCACCCTGCTCAGGTGCCTCATTAGTGCAGAAGGTACTGCCTCAGTCTCACATGAGTTCATCCTGATCCTCTCCAGCTTTTTCTCTCTACAGAAAAAAGACTGATGTTTTCACAACTCAAATCACATCCTTCCAGCTCCCATGCAGGGGCTACCTGTTATGCTTAGCATAAAACAAAATTGCTTAATGTGTACCTTATCTTGTTTGATGAGGCTCCTGCCCCCTTTCAAGCCTTATTTTTGCATCCAGTGTTTCCTCACACTTTGTACTCTAGACAAACTATAGCACCACTTTTCATTCTGACACAAGAGCTTTGCAAATGCCAATTCTCTCCCTGAAAAGTTCTACAAATTCATTAGTCCTCTTAGTTCAAGGGAGACATTCAACAAGGCATGGTGGTATACACCAATCATCCAAGAACTTGGGATTGTGAATTTGAGGCCAGACTGAGATACATAGCAAATTCAAGTCTAGTCTGAGCTACAAAGCAAGACTCTATTCTTCAGATTTTTCCCCAGAGGAGCCTTCCTGAGCTTGTCCACCATGTTCTATAAACTCAAAGAACTGTGTTCCTTTCCTACATGGATAGCAATCTTTTCTACCTGCTCATCTCCATGATCTTACTGAGATGAATCTTCTCTACATTGTAAGTTCAGTACCTGGAATATAGTGACTAATCAATTAATAGTTATTGGATGGGTGAGCCCTGATTCTGGCCATCTGTAAAACTTGAATAAGAATGTTACTTTTTTCTGTTCCCCTTCTCACTAGAAGTTGAATAAAGATCGTAAAGCATTTACAAAGCACTCAAAGTGATATAAAAGCTCCCTTCTACATAGAGTCAATGAATTGTTATTATTGTTGTAAAATTTGCTCTTATGAAACAAAGTAATATAGTATAAATTCCTAAATGGTCTGGGTCCTAGTTTATAGGTATGTTTCTTTCAGCATCAATATCAATATAGAAGCATGGCAAACATACATATTAAAATCTTGTTTCCTCATTATAGTTTCAATTACTTCCTATAACATAGAAATTTACAAGAAAAGTTTAGTCTAGTTCAGTTTGTGTTAACTATTTCAAATTATCAAAGTATAGGTAAGCCAAGTATAGGTTTATTGAGGTACTTTTAAGAGAACTACAACTTGAAATAATTGGGATGGAAGACACAAATATTTATTCCCATCAGAATTCATTTTTCTCTCACTACATATTTCTGATTGTTATAAAAGTAACTGAGGGAGTGATGTAAATGAAGGGAACTTCTTAAAGAAGAAAGCCATAATGATACAGGACCCTGCCTCTGGCTCTTGCTCTACTACCACTCTGCATATTTGTTCTTAGATAAAAAGTGATGGCAGCAGTCATGGGATCCATGCCTATAATCCCTACCACTTGGGAGGTAAAGACAGAATGATTAAGGTTTTGAGACCAGCCTAAGCAAAGTTAGGGAAACTGTACCTGAAAAATAAACTAAAAACAAAAGGGCTGCTGGAAGCATGTTCAAGCTGCTTAGGAAGTGCAAAGCCCTAGGTGCAATCCCTGGTACTACACAAATACAAAATAAATGATGACCCTGGACCTGTGTGTTCTCTCTGCAGGTTTACAGAGAGCCAGTGCAAGAGCCCCTTCACCATACCGGAGAGACTTTGAGGCCAAGCTCCGCAATTTCTACCGAAAACTAGAAGCCAAAGGATTTGGTCAGGGTCCAGGGAAAATTAAGTGAGTGCTCCAATACTCGGCAGTGAATTCAAATGACAAGCTCTCCTCGCCATTTATTGTTTAGATGTTGGTAAAATGTTTTGGAGATTGTGTTCACTAATATGGTAGCAGCTGGTCAAAAGGTGGAAGAAGGACATTAGGAAGTTGGAAGGAAAGAAGAAAGGCATTTTAAAAATGGAGGGAAAGCAAGAGATGGAAAGAGAAAAAGAAAGAACAGAAGATTTCAGACAAAAGTATATGTGACATCAATTGTAGACCTTTCAGAAAACATAGAATCTTGAACAGAGTAGAAAACATTATAGTTCCCTTTACTTATGTTTGCGACAAAATTTAATTCACTACTCAAATTCATGGATTCTTTGTAACGTTGCAGTTGATATACAAGTCAAAGATTTTTTTTTTCTTTCAGGGTTTATTATTTGCTTCCTAAAAAAATCAAGCCCAAATTTAAGAACCTAATTTAAGACATCCCTTAAGAGACATTCTATGAGTTGATCAAAAAGAATCTGAGAGTGGTTCAAAACAATGGAATACGTTCCATGATTTCCTTATCTGCCAATGGTTTGAAAAGTATTAAGATACGTCCTTCATCACACTGATACAATCTGCATGTTACCCTCATCTCTGTCTTTAGAGAGGCTAAGGATTGAGTCCACACTCCTGAGCCCCTCCAAACTCATGTGGAATATTGACCAGCACCCAAATTCAGAGTCATCACTCATCAGCACTTCTTATTCTCAGGCTTATTATTCGTCGGGACCACTTGTTAGAGGGAACTTTCAATCAGGTGATGGCCTATTCCCGGAAGGAGCTCCAGAGAAACAAGCTCTACATCACCTTTGTTGGAGAGGAGGGGTGAGGAACCAGGAGTCTTATACAAACACCTCAGTATGGACAAATCTGAACCCCAAGATCAGGAGTGATTTTTCTCAAGAAAGAGCAGGGTAGCTATGCCAAGGTGACTATGATCCTGTCCTTCCAAGAGGCTCTTCTCTCTCAAGGGATTTCCAAGCATTAGGCTTCATTCTCTTCAAAACACCTAAGATTTTTGGCATGTCCTGGAGTCTGAGATTACATGGTCAAATTAAAGGACAAATATATAGTCCCAAGCCACTGGATCTTTACTTTGTAGGTGGTGTACCCTTCTGAATATCAAATTTAAAACTCTCCCTTCCTAAGTGCACTTACACAACTACATACCAAGCTTTTCATATGCTTTCTGTGATTTTATGAAAATGACTTAAGTGTAAAGGGCAACCCCACCAACGAGGGCATATTAGAACGGACTGGGAAGCTTTTGCAATTCACTCACACACACACGCGTGCACACACACGCATGCACTGTGCAGAGAATTCTATTATGCCTCCCACAACAAAGGCCTTGTTTGTAATGGTCCAGCTGTGTATTTTATCCCATAGGTATTAGATGATTGGAAAAAAAGGATCATTGCCATAAGAGTTCATTCATGGACTTCTGGTGAAGAAGTATCACCAAACCAATTACTAGATCCTTATTTTCTACCATAAATTGAAACTCCCATTAGGATTCAGTCTATAGAGTAAAGACTGTACCAGACTGTAACCCCCTAGCCCCCGATTGTGAAAGAGCTTACTGGAATCTGGATAAGAGACTGTCCCTCCACTTCCAGGCACAAATTGAGCTTCCTTACCTGTGCTTCCTTTGCAGCTTGGATTACAGTGGTCCTTCTCGAGAGTTCTTCTTCCTTTTGTCTCAGGAGCTCTTCAACCCTTACTATGGACTCTTTGAGTACTCTGCAAATGATACCTATACAGTGCAGATCAGCCCCATGTCTGCATTTGTAGAAAACCATCTTGAATGGTAAGATCTATAATTTTCACTTTCTTAAGTTCTTTCTGGTCATAAGTCAGCAGTAGTCTTCTAAGGTCACTGCATTTAGAGCAGTGGGCTAGATATTATAAGAGGTAATGAGAGTGGATAATAGAGCCCTGGAAGCAAAAATGTATAAGTTTTTGCCCAGAAAACAAGATAAATTATCAAGGACAAAAATAATATAACAACTGCAAATTGATGTAAGACAGAATAATCCTCTGCTGAAAATGCACTAAGATAAGAAAACACAAGTCATGAGTGATGTTAATGACCCCTAAAATCACAAAAGTCTCAGTGGAGGCTTCTTGAAGGTATTCATAGGTTTGAAATTCTTTGACCTTGGACCAGTGACTTTACCATCAGCTTTTGCATCTTACTTTAAAATAAGTCTGCTGGATCAGATGATCACTCAGCACCCTTCTGACTTGAAAACCTAGTATCTCTTTGGTTGTCTTCTATTGAGGCATTCTATTACTACTTACAAACATGGGTAATAAAATAGGTATCAGTCAATTTGTGCAGCTTGATGGACAAGATTCCTCACATATAGGTATTAAAAGTCACCAGAAAACTACATGGGACAACTAGGATTCACACACTTTCCTGCTACATAACCCCCATGCCTGATTTGCAAATTGTCCCTGATCTCACTGTTTGAGTTCCTGCTATTGAGAGGGAAATAAGTCCTGAAGACACCCAACATGGGCTGTTTACTAACAAGGCTTATTTATGCTATTGTTGAACAGAGCTTTTGGGCCTGCTAGGTTGAGAGCCCAAGTCCCTAGAGTTTGGTTATACAGCACGAGTGTAACCCGCCTACAACTTCCAGACATTGGACATGCTCTCCTTCTCCCAACATGCTCTCAACTCTGAAGTTCTTAAACTGAGATAGTATATCTATATCAAGTATTTGGCACAAGAAGAAGCAAAACTTACCCCTTGTCTCTCCTTTGCCTGTAACTTGTTGATAAATAGATGATGTAAGGTAGAAATACACAGACAGAGGGCAAGCAGAGCAGGCAAGTGCCATGAAAGGGATTCATGGCCCCAAGAATTGAATGCTAGTTGTCACATAGGACCCATTCCAGCAGGCTCCCTTCTGACACAAGAAAATACATGTAAGCAGATTTTATGTAATATAATTCCTCGGTTCACTCTTATTTGTGAGCATGAAATTAAAGATGATGTCTTGGAAATCAAGAATTCAAATTGTCAATCAAGAAATAAATATTTTCATCAAATATCATACTACACAGAACTATATTAGGTGTTGTGGGGAAGCCCTCATTAATTGAACAATTATAAATTAAGCTTATACTTTGTGTTCAGAGAGTACAAAATGAAATGAGTAAGGTCTCTTCTCCCAAGAAGCACAAAAGGGAGGAATACATGAGTAAACCAACAATGACAATATCTTAAATGCTAAGTTGTACAGTTAGCCAGAATATACAATGGGGTTATATCCCGATAATCCATCATAAGTTGAACATATTGTAAGTCAAAACTGCATTTAATACACCTGACCTACAAGCATTGCAGCTTTGCAACAAGTACATTGTAGATTGTGGCTTGTTTCCCCTTATGATCACATGACTGACTGAAAGTTGCTTGCTGCTTTTGACAGCATCAAGAGAGAGGGTCCTACTGTGCCTCACTAGCCAGGAAAAGATCTAAATTCAAATTTCAAAGTATGATTTCTAATGAGTACGTATCACTTTTTTTTTTTACCATCGTAAAGTCAAAAAATTAAAAGTCGGCCAGATGTGGTGATGCAGTCCTATAATCCCAGCACTTAGGATGCTAGAGCAGGAGGATTGCCAGTGGAAGGTTAGCCTGGGCTACACAGTGAGTTCAAGGCCAGCCTGGTCTGCATAGTGACTCCTGTTTCAAAAAAGCCAAAAAAGAAAGCATAAGTCAAATCATCATAGGGGAACATCCATATACATTGAATTGTATTCAATCACAAGGGGAAAATACCTCAATGCACCTAAGGTAAGACCTGAGGGGCTGGGGAGTGAAGTCTATGAAGCTTATAAAAAGATGGTAGATAGTAAGGTTGGAGACATAGGAGGAATCAGATGGTCATATCCCCTGTGGAAAAGACTAAAATTAGAGTTCTGTTTTTATTTTTCTTATTCATTTATTCATATGTGCATACATTGTATGGGCCATGTTTCACCTCCCCCCGGCCCCTCCCTTCTCCCCTCCCCCCATCTCCCCTCACTTCCAGGCAGAACCTGTTCTGCCCTCTTCTCCAATTTTGTTGAAGAGAAGACATAAGCAATAATAAGAAAACAAAGCGTTTTTGCTTGTTGAGATAAGAATAGCTATTCAGAGAGATTCCTAGCACTGCTTCCATGCACAAGTGTATTACAACTCGAATTGATTCATCTCCACCTGACCTCTTCACTATTTCCCAGTCATCTTCCCATTTTGACCTCTGTTGTTTTAAGGTTACTATATTAACTTCTGTACAGTGAACACATAAAACACTTTCAAGTTTTGGGTTTCCTACCTTTCCCTATTCCTCCTGTATGTGATCCATCTTGGCGTGTGACCCATGTCCACTAATATTACTACATTTGTTTTAGGTCTAAAATCCACATATGAGGGAGAACATATGATTTTTGGCCTTCTGAGCCTGGCTAACTTTGCTTAAGATGATGTTCTCCAGTTCCATCCATTTACCTGCAAATGATAAGATTTCATTCTTCTTCATGGCTGAGTAAAATTCCATTACGTATAAATACCACGCTTTCTTAATCCATTTGTCAGTAGTAGGGCATCTTGGTTGTTTCCATAACTTGGCTATTGTGAATAGTGCTGCAATAAACATGGGTGTACAGGTGCCTCTGGAGTAATCTGAGTCACATTCCTTCAGGTATATTCCTAGGAGTGTGATTCCTAGATCATATGGCAGATCTATATTTAGTTTTTTAAGAAGCCTCCATATTTTTTTCCAGAGTGGTTGCTCTAGCTTGCATTCCACCAGCAGTGTATGAGGGTTCCTTTTTCCCCACATCTTCACCAACATTTGGTGGTGGTGGTGTTTTTGATGATGGCTATTCTAACAGGGGTGAGGTGGAATCTTAGTGTGGTTTTGATTTGCATTTCCTTTATGGCCAGGGATGGTGAGTATTTTTTCATGTGTTTTTTGGCCATTTGAATTTCTTCTTTTGAAAAAGTTCTGTTTAATTCAGTTGCCCATTTCTTTATTGATTCCTTGATTTTGGAGGAGTTTAGTTTTTTGATCTCCCTGTATATTCCAGTTATCAGTCCTTTGATGTATAGCTAGCAAGTATTTTCTCCCACTCTGTGCATGGTCTCTTCAGTTTAGAGACCATTTCTTTTGTTGTGCAGAAGCTTTTTAATTTCATGTAGTCCCATTTATCCATCCTTTCTCTTAGTTGCTGAGCTGCTGGGGTTCTACTGAGGAAGTCCTTGCTTGAACCTATTGCTTCCAGAGTATTCCCTGCTCTTTTCTGTACTAGCTTCAGAGTTTTTGGTCTGATATTAAGGTCCTTAATACACTTTGAGTTGATACTAGGATAGGGTGATAAACATGGATGTAGTTTCAGTTTTGTGCAGGCAAATGACCACTTTTCCCAACAACATTTGTTGAAGAGGCTGTCTATTTTCCATTGTATGTTTTTGGCGCTGTTGTCAAAAATAAGGTGGGCATAGCAGTGTGGATTCTATCTGGGTCCTCTATTCTGTTCCACTGGTCTTCATATCTCTTTTTGTGCCAGTACCATGCTGTTTTTATTGCTATTGCTTTGTAATATAGTTTGAAGTCGGGTACTGTAATACCTCCAGCATTGCTCTTTTTGCTGAGTATTGCCTTGGCTAACTGTGGTCTCTTGTGTTTCAAAATGAACTTTAAGGTAGATTTTTCAGTCTCTGTGATGAATGTCATTGGGATTTTGATGGGAATTGTGTTGAACATGCAGATTGCTTTTAGTAGTATAGTCATTTTTACTATGTTGATTCTACCAATCCATGAGCATGGGAGATCTTTCCATCTTTTGTAGTCTTCCTCGATCTCTTTCTTCAGAGGTTTGTAGTTCTCCTTGTAGAGGTCATTCACATTCTTTGTTAAATTTACTCCTAGGTATTTGATTTTTTTGAAGTTATTGTAAATGGAATTGTTTCCATATGTTCTTTCTCAATTTGTTCATTGTTGGTATATATAAAAGCAAATGATTTTTGTAAGTTGATTTTGTATTCTGCCACCTTGCTGTAGCTGTTTGTGGTGTCTAGGAGTTTTGGGGTATAGTTTTTTGGGTCTTTAAGGTATAGGATCATATCGTCTGCAAATAGGGATATTTTTAGAGTTTCTTTACCTATTTGTATTCTTTTTATACCTTCTTCTTGCCTTATTGCTCTGGCTAGGAATTCCAGTACTATGTTGAATAGGAGTGGGGATAGTGGGCACCCTTGTCTCATTCCTGATTTTAGGGGAAATGGTTTCAGTTTTTCTCCATTAAGTATGATGTTGTCTATAGTTTTGTCTTATACAGCCTTTATAATGTTAAGATACATAAAGAATCCTAGGGTTGAAATTATTTTCATTCAGTGCCTGGAATACCTCACTCCATGTCCTTCTTGCTTTTAAGGTTTCCATTGAGAAATCTGCGTGATTTTGATGGGTTTGCCTTTATATATTATTTGGTTTTTTTTCTCTTACAGCCTTCAATATTCTTTCTCTGTTCTCTGTGCTTGTTATTTTAAAAATAATATGTCATGGGGAAGTTCTATTTTTGTCAAGTCTGTTTGGTGTCCTGGAGGCTTCCTGTACCTAAATGGGCATAACTTTCTCTAGATTTGGGAAATTTTCTGTTATTATTTTATTGAATAGATTACAAATCCCTTTTGCTTGGACCTCTTCTCCTTCTTCAATGCCCATGATTCTCAGGTTTGGTCTTTTGATGGAGTCGGTGAATTCTTGCATTTTCCCTTTGTAGAGTTGTTTGACTAACAGTTCTTCA